GTATCATTTTCCTCTCAATCGAGCAACAATTGCTTTCTATTCGAATCGCAACAACGAATCGTTTATTTGTTCTTTCTTTACACAGATCGAAAGGATTGCTTCGGTAATTACCGGTATTGAATTAAACCGGACGATAAATCTTTGGTGGAAATTATTTTGTTATAAATTTATTCGCTTTGCATAACTCGTTGACGTAAATCATACGCGATAACGATTTTATCACTATCGATCGAGTTTGACACCGTTCTACGTTCAATCTTCTTTCGAGTAATCAACTTTTTATAACAGAATAACAGAATAACATCGACAATCTGGATTCGTGGTTCCGAATTTCAGTTTGTATCGAAAAATTTGCATGCTTTCATAAATTGATGAAATTTGAGAACGAGACAGAGGGAGAATCGAGATTAAAAATATGACGCAAGATATTATAGTTCGAAAGGATGAGGATTTTATGGATAATGGAAAAAAAAAAAAGATACGACGAGATATAGCAGTGTATGAGCGTGTATTTGACAGTGTTTTTTTTCTCTCTCGTACGGCGGCACACATTATTAGAATTCGCAGTACGTATGCGATTTAAGTTGGAATGTTATATTATTGCTAGTTGCTCCGGGCGTGCTGCACTCGTAGTAACGAGCTCGCTTCACAAACGGAACCAACATTTCTCGATACGATTAATACTGAGAATCGTAAACGATTTCGTTTAACTCGGATGACAGAGGTCGTTGGACATCGACCAGATAACGGCTCGTTCGGTGTTCCTCATAGAAAAATCAGAAAGTTCTGACTCACTGGCCGATGTCCAACGTTCCTCCCTCGTTCATGGAAACGCAATTCCCGATTTCCCTCGACGCGTGTACGAACGAAGCACGTCCGGGATACATCGACACATCGATTTAGTGGGTAACAGGTGGGCCTCTATATTACAACGCGAATTACAATGTAGAATAACATTATCATCATCATCATCATCATCGTCGTCGTCGTTCGTTATACAACAATCATCGTAATAATTATTATCGTCGTTTCATCGCAATCGATCATCGTGTGGTGTGCTTAAGACAAGTCGGTATTAAATATCTTACAATACACATCATCTTTCGTATATATTTATATTTTATTTATATTTATATTTATATTTATATTTATATTTATATTTATATTTATATATATATATATATATATGTACTTTTACCTTTTTTTTTTTCTATTATACATATATATACTATCTATCTATAGGGTAGTCAGATTCGTCTCTTGCGTTTCATTCGTTTCTTTCTTTCTTGCCGTTCGCGTTTTTCGCATTCGATTGAGTGAGAAAAGTAAAAAAAAAAAAAAAAAAAAAAAAA